TATGCACATGCAGATGCTCGCTGCAAGCTTGCTGCCTGTGTCCCTACAGACATTGTTCTAGGCACACTATGGTCGTTATGTTCACACCTACACATAACATTTTTAACAAAAATCACAACATACTGCAGCAGAGCTCAGAGTTGATTATTCACTCAACACTGTTCACGGACGTCTTTTCCCGTGTAAGCAGGATACACAGGATGAGGACAATCCCATTCTTCTCTGAAAGATAAATAATGCTCTCCTGGAGGTTATTACTGTGGCATAAACATCCTTAGGAATGACTGTGTGTTTAGTAGTCTAAATATTTCTGAGAATCCTGGACCTGAACATGCACTTTTAATTTTATAAGTGCTGTCTTAACTACCTTTAAAGATTTATGCCAGTTTCCAGTTTAAAACTTTCAATAATACTGTTTTGCTAATTGTTTCAAATCAGCCCCATCCCATCCACCCCAGTACAATTTCATTGCATAGTCTCATCCCCCACCCCAAACTCTCCCCCCATGTTTGGTGGTTTGTATTGCTTGTGGATTGATTTTGCCCACTTTTTAGTTTTACTATTTTCTTACTGATTTATACAAGTTCCTTAAACAGTATGACATTAAATCCTGATTGATACCCCTGTAGGTAAGTTGAACTGTATAAATCAGTCTCTTTCTGGACTTTATTTGGTATTTTTGTCTTTGACACCTTCTGGTTTATTTCTTTGGGTTCAGAGTTGTTTTCTGCCCAAGATCATTGGATCTTCTTATTTTTTATATTAATGTTACCTTTCTCATAGGTCATTTTCACCTTGTCAGGATTTGTCAGGCCATTTATTTATGTTTATTTATGTTCTTCAGCAGCAGTGTGTATCATTTTTTTCTTTGTACCTATTTTATTGTTTTAATTCCTGTTTTACCTTTCTCATTGCTGAATGAATATGCTGTTTTCTTACATTTTACAGCCGGATTAACTAGGACTTGTGTATTAGTCCGTGTGTACCATCTGAATTCTCCTTCTTTTGCTAATATTGTATCATCATAAATATTATTTGACAAAAGTGTGAGGCCAACATGCCTGTGAAATATAAGCATTTAGAAACTCTCGGGGGAGAGGTTGGAGTGGGGGGCAGTGGCCAGGCCCAGCCTCCTTCAGAACTGGGCAGTTACGGCCAAGTGCAAAGACGTATAGGACACGTAGCCTTGTTAGTGGAGACCGCTTGATGCAGGGTGATCTTTGACTCCCCGCAGACCAAGCTGCAAGCAGGTGTCACCATAAAGAGACAAAAATAAAGCCAACCGGGTAGGAGTGGGACAGGTGACGGTCTCTGCTGGTGATAGAGTAACTCAGCCATTATAAAGAGCTGTGAGCTGGGCTGTGGCGTACTGGTGGGATGCTTGTGTCTTGTATATGAGACTCTTTGTTCAGTCCCCAACAATGAAACAAACAACACAGCTGTAAGTAGTCTGGTCACGTGGAAATAGTGGGACGCTTTTCTATGTTGTTTACTCTTCCGAGTATTGTGCTCTTTGACTAAAGGAATGCATTATCCAGTGATGAACAGCAGACATTAAAACTCAGGTGTGAGTAAGTATTCTGTTAATTAAATCTGAAAATTAATTTTAGAAAAGTTTGAACTGACAAGTGCAAGGAAAAACAAAGATGATGAGAGAGAACTTGTATAGGGTAAATACAGAAATGACTAGATTATCAAATAAAAGAATAGTGTTCCCAAAATGGGAATGAAACTCCATGTGAGTTTTTAAAGAGAAGTAATATGGCTAGACTCTTGGCAAACCTGAAAGATAGGAAGAAAATCTAAAGGGGAGACACACACACACACACACACACAGACACACACACACACACACATACTCCTGGCAAACCTAAACGATATGAAGAGAGAAAATCTAAAGGGACACACAATAGTTCAACCAAGGAAGCAGCTAAAACTAAGATAGTAAGAAATATGGAGTACAGATTTAAGACAATACAGTTTAAAACTGAGGTGAATTAGTTCATAGAGAAATCTTTGATCATAATCAAAACCGATTCATGAAGAGGGTGAGACATGAATGAATCAGTTACTGAGAAGAAACTCAGACAGTTGCAAAGACAGCTGACAAAGATGTAGCCCTGAGAGTGTAGTCGATGAATTTGCCTTTCAGAGGTTCGGTTATTCTTGTCTTCAGTGCTTCAAGAATGAAGAAGAAAGTGGAATGGTTGCGTATTCCTGGTGTCAGAAATTAATATCCTAGGCAACATTTATGCACAGTTCATAAGTGTATCAAGAGGATAACATACAGTGATTAGGAATGGTTTACTCCAAGAAGGCAGAATTGCTGCAGTATTAGCAAGCGTAACGTCATGACTGTCATTATAAAGCAAAGAACGATCGCATGGCCACTATTAATAGACGTTTTAAAAGTGTCGGATAAAAATCACTGTGTACTTTTGAGTGGTAAGTACATTTTAAAACAAGTAGAAGGGAAATTCCTATGTCCATCAAAATGTTCTTATTTTTTATGTTGAAACATTTTTAGTGGTCATAGTAGATCCTGCAGACTAAAGTATTAAACATGAAGATAGTGTTGCCAAGTTTACTAGGGTGAGACACCAGAAATCAGTTTCCTTGGTGCATCTTAAAATAACAAGGCATTCAGCTTGAAATTTTGTCTGGTATGATGCTAGGCTTTATTTTTGAAGTGAGGCAAATGAATAAATAAATGTGTGCCTTCACAATGTGTATGGTGTGTGTGTGTGTGTGCGCCTGTGTGTGTGTGTGTTATTCAACTGGAATTTGGTGAACAGTTTGCATGTGACTGGTGTTAGCATTATATCAGAAATAAAGAGGTGCTCCTCGTCCTATGAATGCTAGTAAAATAAAAGTAAATTTTGCTCAGTTACCTTCTTAGGACCAAATGCCTTAAAGTCACTATGCTGCTATTAAAACCTAGCTGTTACAGAGAGACACAGTACTGCATAGGCGCTTACAGACATACAGTGGATAGCGCCTTGTCCAGCGCCCTCAGGAAGGAATCAGGAATCGTTAGAGGCAGCAGTGAGTGCAGGATGCTGGTGGCAAGAGACTGGGCCTTGAGAGGTAAATAGAATTTCCGCACAGAGAGAGAGGAAGCAGAAGCCTCCTCAGCTGAGAGAACAGGATGAACAAGTGTGTGGTGATCGCTACATAGACTAACGGTGCTCGGACCCCGCTAAACATTCCCTCAAGAACATTACAGTAAGAAAGAGAAGAAACAGACCAGGGCCCTCTAATTGGTGAGTTAGCATAATGTCAGAGCAGCTTCGTTTTTCTAAACGTTTCACTGGTGGTTCCATTCACCATCAGGGTTGAAACAGTGATGCAGTCCAGTGTTTGAGTGTCGGGGGTGTCAAGGCACCCTGAGAGATGCCAGAAAGAAACATTAGAGCCAGGTGACAGGCAAGATAATGATGTTTTGGTTCAGTTTGTGTTTTATTTTTATTTCTATTGCATTACCACAATTCTTCCAGTTTTGTTTTGGTTTTTTTTTTTCCGATATTTCAAGATAGGTTCTCGACTATATAGCGTAGGCTGGTTTTAAAACTCATGACACTCCTGCCTCAGCCTTCCCAGGTGCTAAGATGAGACATGTGCTTCTGTGGCTAATGCAGTCTCCTCCATTAGATGTCACCCAAGTGTCTCTTAAATAAAACTGACCCCTGGGTGAGTTTGAAGCCAAGCCAGAGGTGAAGAGGTGAGAACCATCAGTGTTGCTGTGTGCCCGCCCCTAAAAGTGAAAACAACACCGTTTTGTTTGTAAGTTGGCAGTCTTTAGTCATCTGGGGTCAGGCTGACCTCAGTTGTCTAATATTGGTGGCTCACCAAGCTCTCAACTGAGAGCCTATCAGGGGCTGTCAGAGCGTCTTTGTGAACACCTTGCAGAGTCACTGCTGGGTCCCGAGAGGAAGCATCGCAAGAGCAAGCCCTTGAAAGGGCCCAGGCTACCGAAACACCCTACGAGCTGGGCTTGTTGGCCTCAGACGTCACCGCCGTGCTCGCTAGGTCAAGCAGCCCGTGTCCAGTGAAAGCCCAGTGAACTCCATCCTGTGCTGGGAATAACAGTACCTGCACGGAGAGGAAACGGATGTGAGACATCTTCAGAGACTTGCTGCCCCAATATCCTATCACCGGCTAACACAGGATCAAAGTACATGAAGGCAGTATTTCAAGAAATCTAGATAGTAGCACAGGCAATGCAATAATGATGAACGGATCTGAATCATGCAGAATGTGGGCTAAAATGTGGGTGAGAGCTGTTGGTGGGATGCCTGACAATAAAGAGTACACACACCCTTATTTCAGATCTGTGTAGCGCGTCTGCCTGTCCAGAGCGGAGATGCATGGTCCCCTCTTCACACACACATCGAGAGCCTTGACCTGGTGTTTTAAGCGCAGTGTTGTGCATGCTCTCTGTTCAAATGGGTTCCTGGGATTGCAGCTCTGTCTTCACGCCTGGGTGCCAAGACTTGGGTTAGGCATTCTCTCTCTCTCGATTTTTTTCCTGGGTTTCATTTGCTGACACGAGCAGCGGGGAAGGGAGTTTGTTATGATTCCCCATGGTGTCATATTAAGCACGGTTTTGACTCTGCCTGGGAGGCTCTGTACACTTCAGGGTCGTCCTCCAGAAGTTACTGGAGTCTCCTCGGTAGATAGTGACGTGGGGATTGAGCCATCATTGTTTTCCATGTGTCGTTTTGAAGTGATAAGAAGTTTGGCTTTGTTTTAGTTTTTACTTTGCTTTCTGAAACCTGTGTGATTTGCCATTCCTGGTCCCATTCAGACAGTCTGGAAGCCCAGGATGTGGGGCGATGCAGCTTGATGCAGTTTCCGGGCCTGGGAACGAGTCCTGTGCACGTCACGTCGTGGTCATGCTGTTACCATGACGTATGGGGATGTTTTATGAACCGAATCTTACCCTTGAGCCCCACAAGACTGGCTTCCTCCGTAATGCTCAGATTCGTTTGCCGTTGCAGGTCGTCACGCTGTGGTACCGAGCCCCAGAAGTCCTGCTCCAGTCCAGCTACGCCACCCCCGTGGACCTCTGGAGTGTCGGCTGCATATTTGCAGAAATGTTTCGCAGAAAGTAAGGACTCCGTTTCCTCTTTGAATCATCAGTCTTTTAAGTGGCAACATGCCATTTTGGTCTCATTCGAGGTCATGGTCAGACCCACCTGCGCTTTAGTCCTGGCCTAGAGTCACATTCCCAGTCCTTACAAGGACTGTAGCTTCTGACTGGTGGAAACTATTTGAAGAGCAATCCCCTCCCCACCCTACCCCCCCGTCCCCTGTCCCCAGCCCCCGCCGCCTTACTAGTTAATTTGAAGCATCTTGCAGTACCTGCAGTGAAGAAAGACCCTCAGGGTGGACTTCATCCACAGCAGGGTGTTCGGGTGTTTATGATCTAATAAAGCTTGCCTGAAGGTCAGAGTGCAAAGCTAGCCACCGCCATAGGGGCCAGGCAGTGGTGGTACCCAGCTCTAATCCCAGCGCTCAGGAGACAGAGGCAGATGGCTGGCTGTGAATGCAAGGCCACCTTGGGCTACATGATAGTGCATCCATCTAAAACAGAAACAGAGCTCACACCTTTAATCCCAGCACTGGGGAGGTGGAGACAGGAGGGATATGACTGGGTGGAGAGAGAAGACGGGAGATCAGGGCAGTCTCAGTGAATCTGAGGAGCATTTGCAGTCGGGTCTGAGGTTTGGCGGATCCCCCCCCCCCCCCCCCTTTCTGTCTGAGCATTGGTAGAGTGAGAACTCTCTAGTGGCTGGCCGCTTTGCTTTTCTGATCTTCAGGCATGCTTTGTTTGTTATAAACAAAACATCACCACAACCAAGGCTATGAAATACACAGGAGTTTTTAACAAAAATTCTAACGGTGGAAGCTGTTGAGGGGGGAGGGGATTAGGTTAAAAAAGGCGAAGACAAGGTGGGCATGAGCAGCACTGACAGTCCCGGATGGAGGAGAAAGCTGGTATGTTTGGGCACTACAGAGGGCAAAACAGAACCACGGAGCCGGGCGGTGGTGGCACACGCCTTTAATCCCAGCACTCGGGAGGCAGAGGCAGGCGGATCTCTGTGAGTTCGAGGCCGGGCTGGACCGACAGCCTCCAAAACAATACAGAGAAACCCTGTCTCGAAAACCAAAAAAAAAAAAATGATTAAGAAAAAAAAAAACAACAGAACCGCGGATACAGAAGTAAAAAAAAGAGGTTTGGGGGTCAGGGAGATGGCTCAGTGAGTACTTACTGCCAAGCCTGAGGACCTGAGTTTAGTCCCAGGATGCACAGGGCAGATGGAGACCGACTCCCAAGTCCCCTGACCTCCAAGGGTCCGCTGTGGCATGCCCGTGCACACAAAGTGAAACATATGCTTGAAATGGAAGTTCACACAGGATTCTATGTGTGCTCGGTGTGCCAGTGTCTGCCGCGCATTGGAGATGTCCTCAGCAGTGGCGGGAGAGCTGTGTGCTGGCCGGGGCCACCTGCGTGTGAGAGTTGTAGTTCACGGGACTTTTAGGTCGCAAGAATAGGCAAGCAATGACAACATTCTGTCAGGAAAGCAAACGAGGGCTAACTGTGATCTCTTCTTTGAGGCGAGTGAGGAAGCCGCGTGCGTGCCCACTGAGCATGCGCGCCCACTGAGCATGCGCAGACGGTGGCTCTGCTCTGCGTAGCCTCTTTTCTGAGGAAAGAAGTGGTCGGCCACTGTGGCTTACCCTTTGTTATAGCCAGAGGAAGTGTGTGCGGCGAGCTTTGTGAAGGGCTGCTAGACCTCAGCAGGATTCACCGTACCTCACAGAGGGGATTGTGGCAGAGGCACACCTGATGGTACAGAGTGTTTCCTGCTGGCCTACTGCGTGTCCAGAACATTGCCAGTTCTCCCTTGCATTTCCTTTTCCAGTCCTTGATGTAAGAAGAAACTGAACAAAAGGCAGCTAGGAAGTAGCAGGGGTATGAGTTGAAAGGGAGTCCAGTAGATTCTAATCTAGTAATCATTTTAATAAACAAAAACCGAGGGAAGGAATAAAAATTGCGGTGACTACCAACCAGGCTCATAAGTAGGGCGTGGGGCAGCTGAGGAAGAAGGCCTTGTGTCCGCTGCATGCGTGTGGAGACCAGAAGTCTACCTCGGTGTCATCCACATGTTTTGAGACAGGTGTCTCGCTGGGTTAGCTGATGAAGCTTGGCTGGCTGGCCCCAGGGGTCTCCTCCGTTTCCACCTCCCCAGCCATAGGATTACACCTGCGTGCCATCCTGCTCTTTCTGTTGGGCTGGAGGTGCCTGCGTCTACTAGACAAGCATGTTACCAACTAAGCTGTCTGCCCCGTCCTTCAGAAAGTGTGGTCCCTGTGTGGCACTTTGGGCCTTTCTTAGAAATGTGAATTCTTAGGACCCATCCTATACCTCCTGAGTTGGGATTCTGGGGCCAGATTCTATCTATCTCTATGTGTTTTGGTGAGCCCTCCACTTGATCCTAATAAGAAACAGACTAAGAACCCCTAGATTGGATGATGGTGTTGCCAGACATGGACGGGCAGTACTTAAAAAAAAAAAAGTGTATCTCCAACACTCTCTTGGGTGCTCTGATTCGTTACTGAGTTGGACCAGGAATCCTGTCTTTTACGTGTACCTCAGGTGATTCTTTCATCCATCAAGAGTGGAACACATTAGGTTAAAGGTCAGGCATTGGATTAAGACCTAGGAGTAGAGCACGTTAGGAGCTAGGACAGGTGTTCCAGGCAATCCTGGAAAAAACTCAATACTAAGAGTCAATTAGAAAAATGCTCACTGGAATTGTATTTATGAGCCCAGAGTTTTCCTCAGTGTAAAAATGGAGTCCTTGTTTTGGGGGTGGAGAAGTCAGTTATTTTTCCACAGCACTGCTAGATTGGCCATGATTGGTGATTTTAAAAACCTATTTTTGAAGACGCTAAAAGATAAAAACTTAAGATTAGAATTGGGCGTTCATTAGTAAGATACTGGCCATATCAACCCCAAGTTGCACTTTTAAGTCTCACACATATTTACACTAAGTGATGAGTGTAAACCGATAGTCAGCTTCACAGCCTAGCTTGAGGGCTCTTGAGTAATTTGGAACATACATGAAATATCATATTGCTGGGTCATCACAACCTTTTTCCTGTAGGACATTTTCCTGATGCATTCCAATCCAACACGACAAGAACACCCCTCTTCTCACCTCAGAACTAGGACTGAGAAAGACGGCTCGGTGACGGTGGCACTCCTCTACTTTACTTAGCTGGGAGAGCAAGACACTAGCTAGAGACCCATTGGCTCCTCGGAGTATGGTCACAGGAAAGTACCCTGTCTCCTAAAGGCACTGCATAAAGGTTGAGAGAATGGATAAGTGGTTGAAGGAGGAGACAGTGGCAAAAACTGGGTCCTAAAGCTGAACAGAATAAATCTAGAAAACTGGGTCCTAAAGCCGAACAGAATAAATCTAGCCCAAATACCTAACCTTCCGGGGATAACCCTGTCCCTGGTTGCCCCTGTGAACTTGAGCATGGATGTAGTCTAAATACCTGACCTTCCGGGGATAACCCTGTCCCTGGTTGCCCCTGCTGCTTTGACTGTGACCTTGAGCATGGATGTAGTCTTTGATCTTTGCTTCTGCCTGACTCTCATTGATACTACCCAGGTATCCAGGCATGGCGTGCATCTTACTTAGGTCAGAAGTGTCCCAGTACTCCAGCGTCGCCAGGGTCCAGCTGGACTCATGATGGATGCTTTGTAGATCCTACTGAGAACTCAAAAGCCCAGGATCCCGAAAGCGTACTCTTTGATTCCTGCAGGCTAATCTAAGTCTGGGAATACTAACACCTGTCCATTTTGTGTTCTTATTGGTTTCAGAGACGTTGTATTATCTTTATTACCTCCACTGTTTTTGCTGTACACCCTTATGTCAGCTTTATTACCATTTACTTATCTTTTTTTACTTCCCTAAATCAGCTTACTGTTTTATTTAGCCTCACCCTAAACAAGAATATATAAAACCATAGCTTTGATAAGTTGGTTATTTATTTGTCTGATAGACATTAGAGTTTACATAAATATCAAGATTAGAGAACAGTCCATGTCCATCGTCCTCTAAAATGACCTCCCGCTCGCCAGCTGAGAATACCCGACGTCAGAACTCCGTAACACGACTCCCTCTAGAATGGCTGCTGTGTAAGAGGCCCACGCTTGAGGCACGGCTGTCTTAAACCCCAGTGAGGAAGAAAGTCATCGCATGTCTGATGTGTTCATTCAGCAGAACTGCCTTGTAAAGGATGGGCCGCTGTGGGTTGGCATAAGAAAACTGTTTGGGAGAGTAAAGAATTCTCAGTGAAAGCCTAAAAGTCACACCCTAGTTATTTATATAAGATCTTTTTGATGAATAATCATTTTTGCGTAAGCAAAACTTGCCATCCTCCATAACCTGGGGAGAAGAGAAGGAGCCAAGGGAGTTAAGCACCCGTGTTCTGACAAGCCCAGGCCCAGGGCCTTCACACATTATTTTACCAGGCCACATTCAGAGGCCCAGGATCCAGAGGGTGGAGATACGGACTCTTCCCAAGTAGAGTGAATAACTTTTTCAGGAACACCAAGTGTTACATGGCAGAGCCAGGAGGGAACCAAGGTCTGCCTGACGCTGTGGCCATTGATTTTTCTGCTCTGTTGCTTTTGCTCCTGATATTAGCAAACATATAAAGCCTGTAGTTTAGTGTTTTTTTTTTTTCCTGGAGTATTTTATGTATGGTTTCAAGAGAACAGCAATGATATTTTAGGGGTGGAAAAGCAGATCGCACAGTCAATAACCTTGATTTCCAGTCTCTTTAACAGTGGAAAGATTGATTGATCCTCATTAACGTTATCAATTCTATCCTAGAATTGATACCTAGGAAATCCAAGCTCAATAAAGAAGTCTTAGAGCAGATGGTTGCCAAAGATCCAGAGAGTTAAATACCATCTGTCACTATTATCTGAGTTGAATAATTGCCTGCACTGACCCACAGAAGCATTCTACAAAATGGATTAGAGCTGGTTTGTTTTGTTTTTTTAATCTTCCTCTCCAGCTCTTT